TTAGCGCAAGGTCGTAGAAAACGATGGACTATATTTCCAAGATTAAATCCGTTGTTTTCCTTTTTTACATTAATCAAATTTGCCGAAAATCCGTGAAAACTAAGTCATACACCTTATTTATAACCTAATGAATATTTAAACGTATCGAATATGGTTCAATTTTCGTTGTCCTATGGCTGTCAGTCGAGGTGTTATCATTCTAAGTGTCAAGTTGTCCCTCTCATGCGGCTTTAAAATAGTCCTTTACTTAAATTTAGGAAAAAATGGAGGAGGCGAGTATTCCTCCAACGTCCGAGGAAATCCCCATGGAAACGCCCTCGGGTGGGATACGAGCAGTGAAACGCGAGCTGCTCGAGTGGTTCCACTCACCCATAAACCGGTCTCTCCTCATCTTCAAACTCTTCTACTTCCTATTCTACGCCGCTTTCGGCTCACTCTTCCCTCTCCTATCAATCTACTTCAAACAACTTGGCTTGAACGCGACCCAGTGCGGTTCACTCGGTGGTGTGCGCTCCCTCGTTGAGTGGGTCGGCGCGCCCTTCTGGAGTGGAATTGCGGAGCGCTGGAAGAAGGGCAAGCTCTTCCTCATGATTAGCCTCTTCAGCTGGATTGTCTTCACTCTCGGCTTGGGCTTCGTTCGACCGCAACCCGAAGGCTGCCTTGTCTCAGTTGCTGGATCCCGGAGCCACCTGAAGAATGCGTCCAAGCACGCGCTTGACATCAGAATCATGGAACCCTACCGGGAGGTTACAAGCGATCGCATCGAAGCCATTGAAATGAAACCTTACTTGGCTGTCTATGGAAAGACTCGAATAGGGCAATCACCACTGCAGCTTGACCTCAAAAAGCTCTTCCACAATTCTTCATCTTCCGATGGTGACTTGGATTCCATGAGTATCGATCGGAGTGGGCTTCATGCACGCCTCACCAATAACGAAGCCTTCGCTGAACCAAGCCACTACCCTGAAGGCAGTCTTGTCATGCCTCTCTTCTCTACAGTCGTGTATCGTCAGAGCAAAATCAATCAAATCTTCATTCTGGCCATGATTCTCATCTGTATTGGCGCCTTCTTCTCTAGCCCAGCCATTTGCCTGGCTGATTCAGCGGTTATGACGTATCTGGAAGAAAATGGCCTCAATGTGTACGGACGCCAACGGATGTTTGGCTCGGTAGGTTGGGGTCTGGCGATGTTCTTTGTGGGCATTGCGTTGGACCAGTCGCAGAGCTTCCCCGACCACCCTTGTCTTCGTCCGGGGCGTCGCGAGAAGAACTACATGGTCAGCTTCGCCGTGTTCACCGTCTTCATGTCCTGTGCCGCGATCGCGGCAAGCCAGTTCAGCTTCGCGTACGACGGAGCTTCGGAGAGCATGTACTTCAAGGTGGTGAAGGACAAAGTCGCAAAAACGCTGCGTCGCGGACGCATGGGGAAAAATCGTGGCAAACTAGTGAATGAAGACGACCCTGACGATGCCTACACCAAGCTGTCCTCAGGGGAACCGACTGTGAATGCTGAGGCATCTGCGTCGAATGAGGACATTCTGGAACAGCAATTAGGAATTAAACTTGATCGTGGAAGTTTGCACCGAACAGACACGCTCTCAACACTGCCCGCTTCGGACCCGTTCGTAGAGGACTTAGCTGCAACCGCGCAAATGAAGGTAGGTCAAGTGTTTCGGCCCCTAGATTCGTCTTTGTAGCCACATCACTTTTATTCAAAAGTGTTGCCTAAATCCCCGGAAAAGGTGTCCCACCAGCCTACGATATTCATGACCGGGTAAAATCACAATTGAGAGATTCTGGTGAATTTCAAGGAAATGGCGAAATCGAACTACTGCCTGATTCTAGGGCGAAGGAACAAAAATTGGGTGTCAGACCTCTCACCGTCTTTATTCGTTATGTAATGGTTTTTGTCTGAGCCAATCGTCAGAGCACGCTTTGCCCTACAAATTATTTTATGCTTTTACAAACGAATTAAACTATAGAGTCCTTATTAAAACGTTATTTAATCCAGTCCTAACGTTACAAGCGGTCATCTGAACATGAAGAAATTTAGTGGATTCCGTGAGAAATTTTCCATCCTAAATTGTACTTGCCGAAATAATCCTTAGTGGACAGGGAGAAGAAGAGTGTTTATGATTTGCTTAATACGTACAAATGCGGAACTCTTTGAAGGAGCCGGTGAGTCAATTTCGTCGTCCTGGTTGGAAGGAGCGTTATTCGGTTGCCTTGGTGATCATTTACATCAACTCCTCATGTGATAACGCGAGCAGAACCCACTAATTCCTCCCTACCTATCCGTAAGAACTGGGCGACTTTTAGGTAGCGATATGTAGATGATTAGAGTGGCTTTTGAAATTCATGCATTTCAATCTGTGAATTTTCGCTCTCTGAAAACTGGGAGGCCGTCAATGTCGATGCAACTTTAGACACAATGCCAAAACCACAAGAATAGGAACTTGAATTTTCACAAAAATTTATCTGCAAATATTAAAACAAAGCTTTCAATACTGCTGTCGGCCCATTTCCCGGTGGTTTAGAGTTGCGCTCAAGGCTGCCAGCTTAGCGCGCAGGAGTCGAACCTCGGCCTCAAGAGCCGCGTTTTGCCTCTCCAGGCACTCAGCGTATTTCCCCAGATCCGCCTCACGGGCACGTCGACTTTGCCTAGAGCGTCTGGCGGCGGCGTTGTTCCTGTTCCTTCGCTCCCAGTACCTGGCGTCTTTCGCCTCAGTCGGCGTCATTTCCGGATGCCGACGCATTCGTGGGTTGGTGTAGTCGGCATCAAGGGAATTGCTGCGTCTGCGTCTATCAGGAGCTGCTTGTGTTTGCTGATGGGAGTAGGAGTTGTTGCGTTGGCGGTTAGATAGGTCCAGTGGTTCACTGGAATGATGGGGGTTACGCTGAAACAATATGGAATCATTTCGTCTTGAGAATCCCCTGGCGTTTTGGATGTCAAATCGGTCTTCCTCAGAAAACCAACTGGTTGAACACAAAATGTGTGCTTAACTCCGAAATTTCTCGATTTCACCGACATACAAGTAGTGGAATTTGAATGGCTTTTAAAAAGACTGCCAAATTTCTGTTTTCTAATTGGTACTTCTTTACCAAGCCGAGACAATAGACCGTGAATTACGATTTTAGAGTTGAGGCAAGTTTAGTCCTCTGCGCAGTGTCAGTGTAATGGAACGTGTTCTATATTACCACACTAAATTGCGTGTCTGTGATACTTACTCGAAAATCAATTTGTCTGCACCAAAAAAAAACTCACTCGGCTGTCGGATGGCCATTCGTCGCAGACAATTAGGCCTTTATTCCACATCCTCCACCGTTTGCTCGCGTGCAGGCCGTGTGCACCCTGGTGAAAGTGGTCGTGACATAATGATCCATGACATACGGGAGTAGTAATCTCGGTTCCCATGGCCTTTACGTGTCTGCGATTGGTCGACTCGCTGGGGTTCCATATGGCGGCCCGCGACTGTCGCAAAATCACCTGCTGGGCGCACCAATGGGTGGACTTAGGGAACGGGAGGGGGTGAGGGGTTGCCACAAACTAAGGTAGCAACGACCGCTCCACGGGGGGTAGTTGTGGACCTCTAGCGTAAACAGTAAAGCAGCTGAAATGTTGTGTTGTCACGTGGTTCACATGTGAAGCATAGACGGCTGAGGTCAATTTCTCGCAACTGAACTATACCGATAAAGTCTAAACAAAAGGCGCTGGTTACTATTTGGGCGACGCGGTAAACAATTTTTCTGCCTAATACGCGCCACAAGTTCCAGCGAATTTCCACCGACCAAACACACAACCAACAGACCGCGTTTGAGTACTTTTTCGGCGTTGCTAACATAACAACAGTTTTTTTTCAACCAATGAGACTCAATTTTAAACTCGGGAATTGCCACTCTCGTGTAATATGAACGAAGCTGACATTAGAAGCTGATGGGTTTTATTATTGCCAGTGGAATTTAATGTTCGCTTGTAATTCCTTATGTCGCTGCCCAACCGTCAATTCTCCAATGATTCTGTCGTAGCGACTACACTCAGGGAACGCCGAAACCTCTAAATATTCGTACCTGTGGTTGGTTTAACTGACGCTCCTGATTTTATTAGGTGTACGACCTAATGTTTACAGATTTTCAGCAACTTTTTTTAATACAAAAAATAGAAAACAATGAACTTATTCTTGGAAATATGGTCCATCGTTTTCTATGACCTTGCGCCATCTCTCAGCTAACGTACGAATGCCGTCACGAAAGAACCTTACAGACTTCGAGGCAGTCAAGTCATCGTCGACGAATTCACGCACATCGTCCACCGTTTTGAACTGTTCATCCACTAAGGCGTGCTGCTGAGCTGACAACAATAAATGGTAGTCGGATGGATCCAAGTCAGGTGAATATGCCGCGTGTGGGAGGACTTCCCATCCCAAGTTCAAGAGGATCTTTTGGGTGGCGTGAGTAACGTGAGGTGGTCGAGCGTTGTCATTCAGCAGCAGCAACATGACTTGCCTGCTTCCTCGACAAGCAAATGGCTGTTTCTGATCAAGTTATCATCTCAGTTTGTTCAATTGTCGGCTGAAGCTTTGCGCAGGCACCATCTGACGATCAGTTTGCAGGAGTTCGTGATAAAGTACACCCTTCATGTACCCTCACCAGATACACAGATACAGGTACCTTATTCAAGTGGATGTCCCGTTTCTGTGTCGACGAATTGAGTTGCCTGGGATCTACCTACGGTTCACTGTTTTACGTGTAGGGTTGTCGTAACCAAATTTACATTTCATCACCCGTCACAATTTTCCACAAGAGGTCCAATCACTGATTGTTGTCGACGGACAAGCAGTGAAAGGCGTGTGTTCCTACGTTGAGCTACGTTGCTGTGTTCGGTAAACGCATGTGGGGCCCAACGTCCGAGTTGTTGAATCTCCCCCATTTTGTGCAAACGCTTGGTACAAACGCCATTTGAGTGACTTCTAACAGAGCCGCTGCAAGTCCTTGTTGCATGTGCGTTGAGTTTTCATCTGGTATAGCTTGCAATTCCGGTCGCGTAGTACAAATGCACGTTGTTCATGCAGAAGACCAATTCGCAGTGCCCAATAACAAGTACCAATTTCATTTTTTGCCAATTCTTCGAGCCAATCTTTGAGGCTCCGCGCCATTCTCAAGGTCTCAACCTTGACAATGCAGTTGTTTGTTGCAGCTTGGATTTCCTTAGTCAGTTCTGCCTTCGTGTACAACACATCCTCCTTCTACAAAAGGTTTCTCACCCGGATTATTCACGTGACTAGATCTAAATCGATCAGAGGTAGTGCAGTTCTAATCAAGTCAACAACGTTAGTGAGCAAGTGAACGTTTTTTGTGCTCGGGATAGGTGTTAAGTAACCAATAACCAATAAATTTCGTCCATTTTAATACTGTCTACTTACCAATGTTAATGTCTATGAAATTACTAATATTTGGAGCTACACCGCGTTTCATTTCCAGTTCTTTTCACCCATTCTCTAACACTTCAACAACTCACCAAGTCCCAGCACTTTTAAGACCCTACTCGCTGCGAATTAAGGTGAGTGTTACACACGAAGCTTAACCTTACCTGAAATAAAAGTTGTGGCCATCGACTACTGGGTGTTACCGAGGTTTGCATATTGATTGTGTTGCAGGTTACCCAGTATCTTGCTGTTCTAAAGCAATTCACCCAGCCGCGATTGGCAATCTTCCTCTTTGTCACGTGGTTTATGGGCATCGGCGCCGGAATTGTCTTCAACTTCCTATTTTGGCACCTGCAAGAACTCGGTGGATCGCCCACTCTCTACGGCATCGCCTCCATCATTAATTACCTTTCCGAAATCGTCACTTACTACTTCAGTAAACCGGCCATTGAAAGATTCGGTAGGTTTCTCCAAACATTCACCTATTTATTTCGTGGATCTAATTCGTGTTCTAGACTGTTATTGTTAACGCTACTAAGCCCTAGATTCTTTAATTTGATTGGACAGAACTCCACTATAAACGATCGATTCGGCAAAATGCTCCAGGAACATCTTCGTATGCCTTGCCTTGGAAGTGAATTGATGTCTCTGCCTAGTTACATGTTAGTTTTATGCGATAAGGAGAGAGGTTTCTGTTCAAGCGATTCGCTGTTCTCGATTCTATACTATGCCATCTGTTAAAGACCTCGGTGTGTGGCGTCAAACCATCCCAGGAACTGGCAATGGCGGAGACACGACGGTTTACTAGACAGCTCAACTAAAGTGCGTTTTCGATTGTGTATTCAAGGCAGTGCATAACTGGGATAACTAGTAAATTTCTAAATGGTCAGATGCGTAGACGGGTAATGAGGGTGTGTGAGTAGACTCTTCCCCATGACTGAAAAGGGGAAGTGAGTCGGAGAATGAGGATGGACGTGGATCAACACGAATCACGTGCTGACCTCATCGTCCGAATTGGCCGATTTCCTCTCGCCAACGCCACCACCTTCCATTAGTTCAAGTCACCTAGATTTATCCAACTTTGGGCTTCATCGTCCGAATTCTGGGCCATCGAAAATCTAGTAACGACAACTACTTGACGACATCTGATTGGCTACTCATACTCTTGAACCATATCGATCGTGATGACAAAAATGGACTGTGATATGTTCTAACTCCAATACCGTCTGCCCCATCTGACAGATCTGAGTTGTTTTTGACGGCAACTAGCCAATGGGAAATGAGGTTCATCTCGAACTAACTGCACGGAATCGATGGTGGAACCCTTCCAGAATTGAATACCTCTTTGATTGGATGGACGTGGATTAACGCGATTTATTGGTTTTCTCAATAGTCTTTTATGTATATACTGGTTATCCTGTTAAATACTTACAGATCAGGCCAAATTTTATTTCGACAGATTAGATATATCCCAGTTCGACGCACACATCTACTTTTTTTCACTCGTTCGTGTCACATAACTTGGCCAGTCAACAACGAAATCGCAAATTATTACTAAAAACTATTTCATTGTGCGTTTTGAGGCCATATAAGGATTCTATACCTCGGGCTACTGGTGAACGTTCTGCGGTTCCTCTACGTCTCTTGGATTGGTAACCCTTGGTGGGTTTTGCCCTTCGAATTTGTCCACGGTACGTCACGCCTGAGTTTAATATTGCGGTATCAGTGTTTATCCCTATCTTTTTTTAAAAAAGAACTAAATTCGAGTAATTCAACTGCCGACTACGTGATCCAGTTGCCGTTTGATGTGCTACCTTCAAGTCCAGATATATAAAATTAGGCATTACTCAGGTTTCGCTGTTATAATGATCACCACAGCCCTAAGCGATGACCTTCATGTTGTGTTTTAATAAGGTAACACACCTATCTTTTGTCCCTTACGTGGGCACAGATGCATCAGCCCTCAGACAATGCATGACCGAGTCAAGATCTTGTCTAGAGAGCCCTTTAACTGCCCCAGCCAAAATGCACGTTCGAATGCTTCTGCCTACAAATGGCGTTGGCCGCCTAGGGCGCAATTCAAGGTTATCGATGAATGGGCCAATAGGAAGAGGGTGGTCGATTTGAATACAAACAATGGTGTACATAAACACGAATAGTAATGAAAAACACAAAATTGTCAAAATCTTGAAAAAATATGGCCTTGAGATGCTGAATCCCTAACAGAGGTGCAAATATTATAGGTATTCGTGTCGTTGTAGCAACGCCGTGTTCGTTCTATCGAGTCGCAAAATAAACACTTGGGAATATGGTAAGAATAGTCGATAAGATTACGTGATCTAAATTTTCGACGTCATGTTGCGACGAGAGATATTAGATTTCACCTTATGTTCTTTTTTAATAAGCAAATCACCCGAATTTACCTTGCTTAGTGGCATTCAACGCCCCGAGGCGAACTCAAACACTCAAAGGTGTACGAACCAATAGGATGAAGGCGGGAAATACGATTGCGAAAGTTGGTGTGCATGAACACCAATGATAAGGAGATGTAGAAAATTGCGGATGCTGAATCCCCAACACAATACGACATCAGTTTATGCCGAGGTTTTCAATCATTCTGCATTATTTTACAGGCATAACAAATGCTGGAATCTGGGCCGCAAGCTGTTCCTACATTGCACAGAGCTTTGAGCCGCAGTATCGGATTTCAACGCAGGGCGTCCTGCAGGGCTTGAACCACGGTTTTGGCAAGGGTCTTGGAGCCATTATTGGCGGTGCCATCACGACGGCTTACGGTAATGCCGCTTTTGTTAAAGTCAACCGAGAATACTTAGCGCACACTTTGAATTCGCGCGTGTTTGATTGGCTGCCTATTGGATGGCAACTGCTGATTTGTCCTCTAGGCACTGGCAACTTGTTCCGGGCCTACGGGGCTGCTTCGGCTATCATCTTGATCGGTTTCCTTCTGATAAATTACCTTGTCAAGGAGAAAGCCGCCTCGGACGATGAAAAGACTGCAGGGACCGGGGATGAGGCGAGTCTGGCAACCACCGACCCCCTGGCTAGCCAAAAGGCCTTACTGAAAGGGGGCACTTTCGATGAGTCGGCATTCATGTCACCTGCCGGTACACCCTTCATTCCCGCCTCACGAACACCGGCTGGGGTGGCTGCGGCTAAAAGCACCAACACCAGTGCTTTCAGTGAACTTGGTCGAAGTAAGCGAATTACCGTCTGTTCAATTGTCCGTGTGCGCACGAGTAGGACATTCTTTAGCATGGATTGACATTTGCGTCCGCTAGTTCAAGTGAGTGAAAGAATCGAGCTGCTTTCGTAGGAGATTGCTGAATTGTTGTGGTACCGTGCTCCGATGTACTCTGTGTTCACGGCGTTGCTGAAGCAGATTTTTACGGGGCAATCTTTTTTTTAGATGACGGAATTGGAAACCTCTTTCCGCCGAAACCGAGGACCTGAAATGTACTCGTTGCTGAACCGCAGTTCCAATCGGGCCACCGTTGCATGATTTCATATTTATCCAACATCGCAGACCATTAACGTGTACTAAGTGTCGTTCCCTCCCCCAATCACAAAACTAGTGACCGTTGGCATGGTAGTTTCACCGTTGCAGCGTCCTCTGGAAACCTCTGCGATTCCCCTCTCTCTGCCGTTTTCTCCCCTAGTTTAGTAACAATGTATTACCTGTGACATCGTACAAGCTCTCCTGTTTACTTAAATATACCAATACTGTCTTGATTTCATACCGTAAGGAAATAGATTTTGGCTTTTGGGAAATCGTAATGTAGTGGACTGACAGCCACCTCGCGTGAATGTGCGTGCATGAGGGCCCGAGTGGACCAATGACTCACCCCTTTGGTTATTGGTCTCTGTTAGCATTCGCCTGTTACGAACGCGTACTCATACGCCCACAAAGCCACTTGGCTAGTTCGACACTAATAAACGGTCGTGTTCTCTGTCGCCTCCTTTTCCCCTCTCCTCGGGTCGTTACGGGCTCTTAGCTAGAGGGTTGTAAGGTAGTGCTAAGCCTCTAGCTACTACAGTAATAATAAGTGTTCGATCGACGTCCGACGGAGAAAGGGGACGACCGTAGACAACACGGAGCTCGGTCGATTTATTGCTACAGTTGGGGGGTGGTGGTTGGGCGTGTCGGCAGCGTGGTGAGGTGTCAGTTTGCAAATAGGAACGCTTGACATCGATTTCTGATCAAACATCGTGATGTGAAGTGCACTCAAGACGATCGATTGCGTTCACGTTTGCGTGTTGATCGCCGTCGATGCGTTGACTGACTTCAGGATAATCGCTCGTCCAATCGTGTTAGCAATGTTCGCTTGCACATCAGCGAATGTTTCTTTAAGGGATACCGTTGGTTAACTGTGGCCTACCCTACCGGTCGCTTAAACCAGGCTTCTTTCCACAACCACTGATTGGCTCAAAACGTTTCTGTGCGGTGGCTGCTGACGACAAATATGATTGGTGCAAATCAGTGTTAACTTCGCTCTGCAAAGTGGTCTCCACAAACGCACTTGAGCACCCTTCGTCGCTGATTGCCAAATATTTTTAAGATTTAAAAAGATTTCGCACAGGCCCTATTTCATTACTATTATAGATGGAGTAAAAAGGTTTAAATAAAACGATAGTCTTGCACACCCAAGAGATGATGGTAAAGTGGCCTTAAATGGCGATGAGTGAACGCTACGATAGCGGTTCATCGAAGTATAGATTCCAGCTACAAGTTTAAAAAATGTCCTTTGTTTTACTGCCTTAGAAACTTAAACATGGTTCGATAGAGCGCATTTTGAAAATTTGCAGTCGGGAAAAATTGTCCTTCAAGGTGAAAACAACATTGATTTGTAAACCTATTTCCAACATTCAAAAGCTTTCCTAGTTATTGGTAAAGAGGCGAAATTTAGAGGTCCTGGTATGGGCCTCGACCACCTCGTCGTATTCGCCGATTTAGAAGAACAGAGATGATAAGGAAACAACCAATCAGAAGTGGACTAGCCCTGTTGTGCTTTGTCGCGGATTTTTATTGGTCGCAATTAAATTAGGATTGTTTACCAATAGCGGCCCAGGTGAACAAGTAAATGAACCAATGCCTGCATAACAAGATACACGATGAGTGAGGGGGGCTGTGTGTGTGGGCGCGGGGGGATGCTGCAAGAAGTAGGGGAGGAAGCTGGCTTTCTGCTTTGACGAACGGGAATCGTCGTGATTTACTACATCGATGATTGTTTAGTTTTGTTTAAACGATAAGTGAACTACGAACTAAAGATTAAAATCTGTGTTTACCCCTCTTTACAGGGAATTTTGCTAATCAAACTGTGAATTTCATTTCAACAGAGTTTGTTTAAATTTAGTCCAGGCTATTTCAACATTTAACTTGTTAGTCTTGATCTATTCGTTGTTTTAATTCTGATTCATACTCAGCGCTGCTTATAATTTGCTCACAGGGGGCGTGAAGCTCATATAGAACACTACTTGAAATGTTTGACCTCTTTACTGTCGCATTACTGTTAGTTAAAATACTACGTTTTTATTGAATTTGGCCTGTTTACGGTGCTCAAATACTTACGAGACAAGTAGAAGACCGGAGATGGCAAAGACAACCGCTTACTAGACTGATCAACTTAGTTGCGCAGTACAAGGTTTAGATCCCTGATTAATTTCAGGAAAACACAAAACCCAAAAAGATGTTATTATTAGTCCTAGAAATGCCTTCTGGCAGCAGCAAAATTCTTAACTGACGGACAAAGCGTTATCAGTAAGAGCACGGCTGTGCGGTGAGTGTGTGTGGGTGCTCATAGAGTACCCAGGCGTCAGCTTTTAAACCAACGCTTGATATCGATCGCTGAACGAACATCGCGACGTGAAGTGTATTCAAGATAATCGATTGAATGCGTGCTTATAACATTCGCCTGGTTATCAGCACAAAATGATATGAGAAAAAAACTCTGTTTTGATCCGTGCGTACTCGTTTTACAAAATCAAACCTATGCGTATTGCTGAAGTAGATAAAGGCTATTTCGTGTCCAGTAAATTAGTTTCACCAAGATAAATTGGAGTTAACGGTAAGCCACATCAAAGAACGATTCCGCACAACGAGAACGTGAGTTTGGACTAGAAATTTGTACCTGAAGAATCTTGGAAAGCACTTATTGATTGCAGAGTGGATTATGTTTAGGTTACAATGCCTTTTGAATAAGAATGTGGTTACAAAAATTGTCATTATTAAGTTACTAATTTCATTAACTAATGAGGCAAAAATCAAATGAAACTCGTAATTATGAGAAAAGTGTTGTGTTAGGGCCTGTTGTACAAGAGAATTTGCTAATGGTACATCGAATAATTTGGATAGACCCAAGCTGTGGTGCTTAAAAATTAGAGCTTTAAAGAAATAGACATTTGTCAAAAACCAAATGAAACAGATAGCAAAAAATTTGAACGCTGCTAATAAAGACAAATAATTGGTCACGTCACAGATACTCAAAAACAAAGAGAGTTCACGCTTGTTTCTAACCCAAGTGTTAGGCTTTAACTTCTAAAATCATAATTGGACAAGGTCAGTAGGAAGTAAAGGCAAACGACAAACAGGAGGCAAAGATGTTTCATATTTTATTCATGCAAAATGTTAGGAAATAGCTTAAATCAGTTTCATTCATTATTGTGAGAATATTTTGGATTTGTTCATTAAAACAACTATCGCATTAGTCTGCCTCAAGCGGCATATCGATTGGTTAAAACAATTTAGAAATAGTAATTCACATTTGTAATTGCATCATACATGACAAATTGTGTTGCAAAGACAAACAACAGCTTAGCAGCATTTCGAGCGAATCAAACTTGGGTGTGTACGGTGTTGCTGCCACGTGACTCGGCAACGATTTGAAGCTGTCTTGCTTGAAAAGGGGTAACGTTTGTGATGTAACAAGATTCATCAAATCTTCGAGAACTAAGACAGGACTGTAATTCATGGTCCCTTTAACAATATTAGAGTTGAAGAACTGTAAATTCTGAAGCACAACATTACAGCGATTTTGTGGAGGAACCACTAAAAGTCTTAAATCAAGTACAAACCCAAATTAATTTTACAAATGTAATCTATGCTAACACACAAAGAAATGAGAAAACCTGAGACGCCCTAACTCAATTGTATTTGTAAAATCTATGAGTATGCAAAGCCCTGCATGCATTTAATGCACTAACGTGCATGAGGGAGTCAATAGAGAAGGTGGTTCTGGTGTAAGAGAAGTAATATGAGCTGCAAAATTAAAATGCACAAAATGATAAAATACGTAATATGAGTGAGACCAGAGGCATGAACACAGAGGTTCATACTCAACCATGATTTTATGATACATGGGAAAATCAAAGTGCAAGGTAGGATTTCGAAATTTGCAAAAATTTTAAGAATAATAGAAGTGGTTTAAAGCAAGAGGATAATTTTTATGGTGCCAATGCTCCTATTCAATCGTTACAACATGCTGTCACTAAATCACCAATAATAATTTAACTAGCCTATTTTGGAAAGTTGGAAACAACCACCAATAGCTTAAAAGAAGAAGATATATGAAGCATCGTAAGTTGATAAAAATAAAATACGCACTGAAATCATGATGATAAAAAGCCTCAGATATTTGGTTGTTGATTTGACAAAAGGAGAATTAATGCATATTTTTAATTAATATCTTTACAAATTCCCAAACAGCAATTTACATTCATGATAGATTTTATCAATTTTTTTTGTTAGAACTGTAAAGTTGTTTAAATTGGTTTGTTAAAGATGCGTCGTTTTGCAACCCATTTTTCGTGGTTAGAGGTTATCAATGGTTCTGGAGGCCGTGCTAATCGGCTATTTAGCCACCATTCCTACATTTGTTATAACATGTGTTGTAATTAATTCCCTTAACATTGACATACTTCCAAAAATATACATAAGTATTTTGGATCCCGTCATGTCTGTAGGTCATTATCATTTAATGTATATGTGCTAGTACACAGCACGGCAAATGGGGAAAAGGTCCATGTCAACCGCTAGCCTGCAAAAGGAAGAAGAAAAAGAAGAGGAATATTCTTCTCTTGATTACGTAGATGGCAATATTATAGAAAGGGACGTTACTCTATATGAAGACAGTGTACGCATGAGCGACGATTATGTCATTGAAGAAAGGGCTTTCAAACTTTACCACCCAATTTACCTTTTAAAATCAGGCGTTGAAGTAGACAAATACTTGTTATAAAATCTCTTAGGCTATCATAGAGGACGATGTTACAAAGCGTTTTTCGTCGGCCGAACTTCGTGTCTGGAATCTTCTGGCTCGGAATCAAAATTATTATTTTCACAAGTGAGTCGATTATATTTCCCTTATTTTTATAGCACATCGTGCAAGAAAACGTTAATGGCGTTGTGGCTTCTGGGTTTCGTCATTCGTTATCTATTGCTCTTTCCTTGTCGGTATGTTTTTTTTTCAAGTAGCTAAATCTTTTGTAGACTTGCTGTTTGTTTCTTTGCCGTTGGATTGACGTGGTTTTGTGGCTACCTTAAAAACCTTTTTCCAGGTACTGCACTGGGTAAATGGCTTACTGGACCGGGTTATCAGCGTTGCATCCGTCTTAATCTCTGTGCGTATGCTGCTATAATTCGCTTTCACAATCCGTAAGTGCTGCTAATTTGTTTTTGAGGGAATTTTTGTTCGATCTCATAATTTCTCCTTTTCAATTACAGTGAAAATCGCCCTAAGCCCAACACGATTTGTGTCGCAAACCATACCACTCCCATTGACTTCGCAGTTCTTGCCAGTGACAATACTTATGCTGTGGTATGCAGAACGATTTTTCCTCTGTCAATCTTTATACTTGCGGTGTTTTCATTTTGATTAGTTTTGATGCAAAGAACAGCTTGCGTTGAAACTGTTCATTTTCATTATATTGTAAGAACTGTCTCCGAGCAATTTCTGATCACGTCCTTGTAGTCATTTTCTGTCACCGTCGAAATTTTTACCAGTATCGCTTTGGTTGTCCACTTTGGTGTCACGGATCAATTTATTGTGGATTAAAAGGCGACTCAAGGTGACTTACATATTAAAGATAAGCTCCTCTAAAAATACGATTTGTTAATTATTTAAAGTTTGGTGCATCCAATATGGCTTATAAAGAACACACTCTACCAAACAGAAACGAGTGATTTTATGAGGATTTGACATACTTTATGAACTGACGCGTAAATTTGGCTACCGGTTAATCTGTCACCAATACCCCTCTAATTCACACATCGGTAATTTTTGCACGACAAATTTGAAAATGAAATCCCAGTTGATATGTCAATGGATGGACGTAAGACACCATTGCTATGTTGCTTACCGCCACGTCCGTAGTTACCATTCTTGTGGTTTGATTGACGAATTCCGTTCAACTGTAAGATCAACTACAGCCTATTTTGTCTTAGTTATCCTTCTTAATTTAATAATGTACTTCAATGAGAGGTCGCGTTTGTGCCTCCAAGTTCCCAAGCACTCAAATCAAACGAACTGACATGCCTCACGTGTGACTACGCTTGTGATAATTAAATCCAGGTTAAACTATGCCAATACAGCCAGTATGATTGATCTGGCGTCCTGCACATGAGTACGGAAGTACCGCAGCAACGTTTTCTTCACGGTGTGATATTTCATGTCAACGCATAAGCGCCCTTAGTTTCAATGTCATATTGAGCTATTATGCGCCGTTTACTCTTTCCAACGTCGATTTTTTGCTCACCACACTCTAATTCCGATGTTTCCTCGTGGTTAAGTTTGAGGACCTCCTAATCTTGACTTTAACGGGATTTCACATTGTTCCACTTGAAACATGCTTCTACGTCATGAATGAACGAAACCTCGTATGTTAGTTGTGTGCAGTTAACTCATTGAAATACCTTCGAATCTCAAAATGAATGTGTATTTTGGAACACGCTCTTATGCCTTTCTCTTCGTCTCTTGAATCCACAGATTGGCCAACGCCAGGGCGGTTTCTTCGGCATGGTAGAGAACATCCTGTCGAGCGCGGTGCCAACAATCTGGTTCGATCGTGGTGAAGTCTTCGATCGCAGCGCCGTCACCGAACGCATGAAGGAGCACGTGTCGACGCCAGGCGCCCTGCCCATCCTCATCTTCCCCGAGGGGACCTGTATCAATAACACATCAGTGATGAAGTTTAAAAAGGGCTGTTTTGAGGTTGGCGCGGTTATTCACCCGGTGGCCATTAAGGTGGGCTACCAAGTTGATTTCTTAATGTCCTTCTTTACTTGAGGCCTTTTAGTGCCAACTGAATGCATTTGACGGCGCCTCATTTCCGGATCAGCATATTGCTAATTTAATTTCGTCTTCCATTCACTGCCGTTCGCTGTGGGTGAATACTCTTTCATGATAGTTTAGCTTGAATGTTTAGCTACAAGATTTTTGTTTATCTCGCGGCCTCTAATGTTTAGCAGCGTCCTTTCAAACGATAGTCTCCCCCTAACGGAATTAGTGATTGACGTTGCCTGCTAGTAGTCACGTAAATATGTGGTTCTAATGCTTGCTCGAGTTTTCCGATGGAGAAGGCGATGTTCCCGGTCGTGCTACAACAAGTCTAGATTTTAAATTAAACAGTCCGTCTTCTGGCTACACTTTGTCTCTAACACACCGCTTGGCGCGACTGCCAATTTTCAAAGCCGGCAATAAATGAGTAAAACACCAAACAAAACGCATTGAAAAGCGTTGTTTATGTTTTCTTCCACTGGCACAAGTGAACTAGAAATCCCGATTGCGTGATTTGACCGAGGGCTGGTGCAACTCCAGCGTTCCATAGGCATGTTTCGACGGCGTCGTCTTGTTGCACTTTAGTACGACCCCAAATACGCCGATTGCTTTTGGAACAGCAGCCAAGACGGGCTTTTCCACTACCTGCTGAAACTCATGACATCGTGGGCCATGGTTGTCGACGTCTGGTACCTCCCGCCCGAGACGCTGCAACCCGGTGAAGACGGAATCAGCTTCTCTGGACGTGTCAAGCGGAAGATAGCAGAGCGAGGGGGTCTCGTCGATATGGATTGGTGAGTTTAGCATAATTTTGTCATTTTTGGTTGACTAGATCGTGTGGGCTTTGGGCGATTTTAACTAAGCATGTGAAACTTCAACCTGCTTGTTTGATAAGTCTTCCTAAAGACATCTGACGTCGTTATGGTGCGAGGAGTCGTTTTCATTGGTCGACATTGCCCTCCCCCGCCACGTTACTCGTCTCTGAGTTAATCGTAAACATTATATAGTGAAATCTCGACCAAATTGCGCTATCTCGGGATGTTCCCGTCCCCAACTTGTCTTTCAACTGACATCTCTGCACGACCGCTAACGACGGGGGGTTGTGTTTTGAGGGCATCGTCTTCCTTGAATCAGTAAACCCTAATCGCCATTGCACTTACACTGCTTTTCGCTTACCGCCAAGGCAATACCGGTTACTTTTCCTCACAGCCCTACATGCTACCAAGTGTAAATGTTATCGACCAGTTTTAACTCCTGCACTAATTTTTGGTGCACGTGTCATCGTATTGACTTTCGAAATTTTACGGAACTCCGTGATTACTCCAGCTTTAACTAAGACATGGGATTACACTTCTGTGTGTGTGAATTCGAACCAGCAGGCTTTTACTCGCGTCTGATTGACACGCGTATGTTGGTGATTCATTTTCTACATTGACTTCTTTTTGGCATCGTTTCACTGGTAACGTTAAGTGGGTCTTTTGAAGTTACTGGGAGGCTGTGGCCTTGCAGAAAGGTCAATTTTGAGGGCGATTAACTCGTGTTAATGCACAACCAATATGAGTCGTGCGATTACATTCCACGCGAGGTCCAAGTCTGCAAATAGCGTGTTAAAGCACTCCTTCGAATACACTGAGTTCGTTAGACAAAAAAACCTATGTAAATGTTGTTGGGACTGTGACTTCGCTCTCGTAACGCAATTGTAACTGGCTGACTCTCAAGGCCGTCGTTTGGAAGTCCGTTTTAACCACTCGTAGTGTTATTGGTTTTTCCAACAACCCTTTTATGGGTTGTGTTAATTTTATGAAGCAGTAAATTGGTGGCTGTCTAGGGATCTTTATTGTATCCGATCAGATATAATTGTACGTTTTGCTAGCACACACCTGTTATTAACAGTACTTAATTCAATGGCATTGCTGTGTATGTGTGTTTAAGCAGTGAAATTTTATCCACGAGGCACAGCCAGAAGGCGGTACGACCTCCAGATGACAAACATTTTTTTGCCTTCGTTCAACAAAGCACGTTAAGTTCTGCCGCTGAAAGGATGTATTGACTTGTGGAGTAGGTTTTGTGGCATACGTTTTGTGATTCGTCAATTTCTCGAATGTGTGTTTCGGTGTGGTCTGGTGTTGCATAAGCATATTTAATCCGGGTCAATCGGATACACACAACGTGCCTTGTTTGTGTTGTAACTAACATAATCAGACTGCTTCTCTAGGCGCCTCTCTGCCTATTTTTATTGGTCAGATCAGCAGACCCTGGTTTCGATCAAGTGAAGGTCATTTGTGAAATGTTGTTTTGCAAAGCCTCTATAACAAACGAGGCATGTCATTTCTGGCAAGCGGAGTCACTCTTTTTCTCAGCGGTTTGAGCAACAGGAGCGCTTCCTCATTGGTCGAGGGATTCTTTGCTTTCATTGGCAGGCCCACCAGTTGTAAATGCGAGCAAAAGCTACTGCCTAGCGCAGTATTTTGAGCGATTTCTTAGTGCAGTTTGAAGCTAACAGCCCGTAACATCCCGAGAAGTGAAGAAGAGGAGGCTACAGAGGACTCGACCGTTTATTGGCGTCTCACCAACCAAGTATGTGGATGAGTAAGCGAATGACAGGCATCTGATACAGTAACCAATGAAAAGGGGATGAGTCATTGTCACCGTCAGGTCGGTAAATAGGGTTCACTCAGACGCGAGGGCGAGCAAATCACGACTTAGATTAGGGCCTAATGTGCTTTGATTTCCTCGTCAAGCGCCGCGTTCTCTTTTGTGTAGGGACGGTGAGCTCAAACGCAGCCAACCGAAGCCAAATCTGCGACTCGCTCAGCAAAAACTCTTCAGCGACTTTATCGGTGCCGACGAGGACAAGTGATCTCAACCCGATGCAATCTCTGCCAGTTTTACCCCCCCCCCCCCCCCCCCCCCCCCCCCCCCCCCCCCCCC